CGGAGCAATTCAAGCCCAACCTTCCCCTCATCCAAAGAGATCTGGTCCTTTTCCCACCCTCTCTCAGGCCGGTGAGAGAGAAGCCCAGAGCTGAGCGAGAGATTCTCCTGACTGGACTGACCGGTCCCCTCTTTCAGGACGGAAATGGCAGGCCTCTCGCGTCTTGATTGGAGGCCTCTCTTGTTCCAGCTGAGGCCTGGCGTCCATTCCGTCCTGGTTCCCTCTGGATTCCTTCTTCATGGCCCTTTGCTCACCTTCCATTTTTCCTTCTTGCTTGGCTCCCCCTTCTCATCCTGCTTTCCCAGTTTCCATTCTCCTTCTTTGGGGGCACTAGAGATCTCTTCAAAATGGCCTTTAGTTGATACAGCTTGCCATTGGCACTCCTGATTAATCCATCCAGAATTCCCAGTGGTTTCATCACTTCTGTACATTCGGCCAACATCTTATGTTGTCTTCCTTTCTCCATTTTAGGAGGTTTCGACTGAACGTTGGATTTGTCATATTTTGGTAAGTTTTCAAATAAATGTTTTTTTTGCAAACAAGCTCCTATGTTTGGAATTGCCTCAGGAGGATGTTTGATAAATCAGTATTTCTTTATCGTGTCAGGTGTAACCAGACAGTTGTATTCCATTTTTAACAAAACAAACAAACAGACAAAATACAAAGTTTGCAGGCTTGGTAGTGGATTAAATGTCCTTTGACCAGTATCTGGCCCCTTGGAGGGCCTCTGGTGTTGCCGCAAGAAGGTCCTCCAATGTGCATGTGACAGGGGTCAGGGTGCATTGGAGCAGGTGGTCAGTGGTTTGCTCTTCTCCGCACTCGCATGTCGTGGATTCCACTTTGTGGCCCCATTTCTTGAGGTTGGCTCTGCATCTCGTGGTGCCGGAGCGCAGTCTGTTCAGCGCCTTCCAAGTTGCCCAGTCTTCTTCTGTGTGCCCAGGGGGAGCCTCTCTCATTGGGTATCAGCCATTGGTTGAGGTTCTGGATTTGAGGCTGCCACTTTTGGACTTTCGCTTGCTGGGGTGTTCCAGCGAGTGTCTCTGTAGATCTTAGAAAACTATTTCTTGATTTAAGTCGTTGACGTGCTGGCTGACACCCAAACAGGGGATGAGCTGGAGATGTCACTGCCTTGGTCCTTTCACTATTGGCTGCTACTTCCTGGCGGATGTCAGGTGGTGCAATACCGGCTAAACAGTGTAATTTCTCCAGTGGTGTAGGGCGCAGACACCCCGTGATAATGCGGCATGTCTCATTAAGAGCCACATCCACTGTTTTAGCGTGGTGAGATGTGTTCCACACTGGGCATGCATACTCAGCAGCAGAGTAGCATAGCGCAAGGACAGATGTCTTCACTGTGTCTGGTTGTGATCCCCAGGTTGTGCCAGTCAGCTTTCTTATGATATTGTTTCTAGCACCCACTTTTTGCTTGATATTCAGGCAGTGCTTCTTGTAGGTCAGAGCACGGTCCAGAGTGACTCCCAGGTATTTGGGTGTGCTGCAATGCTCCAGTGGGATTCCTTCCCAGGTGATCCTCAGAGCTCGGGATGCTTGTCTGTTCTTAAGGTGAAAGGCACATGTCTGTGTTTTAGATGGATTAGGGATCAGTTGGTTTTCCCTGTAGTAGGCAGTAAGAGCACCTAGAGCTTCGGAGAGCTTCTGTTCAACCATCTCAAAGCTCCCTGCTTGAGCAGTAATGGCACGATCATCAGCATAGATGAAGCTCTCTGTCCCTTCTGGCAGTGGCTGGTCATTTGTGTAGATGTTGAACATGGATGGAGCAAGCACGCTCCCTGAGGCAGGCCGTTCTTCTGTTTCCGCCATCTGCTTCTCTGGCCCTGGAACTCAACAAAAAAGCTCCTGTTTTGTAGCAGGTTTCCTATGAGGTGGGTGAGGTGGTCGTCCTTTGTGATACTATCCATTTTCCTCAGAAGGAGGTGGTGGTTCACAGTATCACAGGCTGCTGACAGGTCTATGAAGACAGCTCCTTTCAAAGCCATCTTCTATGTGCTGAGTCAGGTTCAGCACTTGCGATGTGCAGCTTTTGCCTTTCCTGAAGCCAGCTTGCTGTGGAATCAGACAGGGGTCTATTTTTTCCATAATTCTATGCAAAATAAGTCTCTCCAGAACTTTGTAGAGGTGGCACAACAGGGAGATTGGTCTGTAGCTTTTTGGATCATTACGGTCTTTGCCTGGCTTCAAGATGGCGATGACTCTTGCTTTCCTCCAGATTTTGGGGATCTGACAGGATGCAGTGCAGTTGTTCATCAGCTCCAGCAGCCAGCGCCTTGCTTTTGGGCCAAAGTTCTTGATTTGTTCCATCCGTAGATCATCCAGGCCAGCTGCTTTGCCATTTCTACATTTATTGAGAGCCATGTCCAATTCAGTAGATGTAAAGGGTTCACGAAGGTTGTTGTTCTCAATCTCTGGTTGTCTGGCTATTGGTTTCTTTCCTACTTTGGTGGCAAGGTTGGGTTTCCCATTCTTCAGGAGTTGGTGTGCTATCTGATCTGCCTTTATGTTGGCATGGGTATTAGATAAATCAGTGAGCGGTGCTGACTTCTCTTCGATTCAAGGCCACACTGAAATACCGTCCTCCTTTCCTTCCTCTTGTGGCAGAGAATGCAAAAGGCTCCACCCTAAACTACATTTCCCAGAACTCTGCTGGCTTCCTGTGTTGATGCCTCAATGTGAATGTGGGCCAGGGACCCCTCTCTGGCTCTGATGAACGAAGGAATGGCAGGGATTGGCGGGCTGGATCCGTCCCCCCGGAAGAAGAGCGAAGAAGGGAGCGCAGAGGGACCCGGGGATGGGCAGCCCTTCCGAACACCAGCCTTTCTCCCCATCTGAAGATCCAGGTTCTGTTCCTCCCCCATTGAGGAGGGGGCCGTGAAGGGGGCATGTGGGAGGGAAGAGGGAGGGGCCCCAAAGGAGTCCCCAAAGATCCTCTTGGAGGGGGGAAGAGGAGGGGGAGGGGCCTGGATTCAGACCAGGGAGGGAAGGGGAAAGGAAGACCCCCCCCCTCCACCCAAGGGACTGACTCTGAGGCATTAGACGTCATGCTCTCCATGTGGAATCTGCCCATGTCCTGCCTGACAGAAAGCCAGCTTGATCTGGATTTTGTTTATCGTGTCAGGTGAACCAGTCAATTATATGACATTTCTAACAGAACAAAGCAAACAAACAGACAAAATACAAAAGGTGTGAGTTTGGTAGTTGATTAAATGTCCTTTGACCAGTCTCTGGCCCCTTGGAGTGCTTCTGGTGTTGCCGCAAGACGGTCCTCCCTGGTGCATCATGTGGCAGGGCTCAGGGTGCATTGTGGCAGGTGGTCAGCGGTTTGCTCCTCTCCACACTCGCATGTCATGGATTCCACTTTGTGGCCCCATTTCTTGAGGTTGGCTCTGCATCTCGTGGTGCCAGAGCGCAGTCTGTTCAGCGCCTTCCAAGTCGCCCCATCTTCTGTGTGCCCAGGGGGGAGTCTCTCATTTGGTATCAGCCATTGGTTGAGGTTCTGGGTTTGAGCCTGCCACTTTTGGACTCTCGCTTGCTGAGGTGTTCCAGCGAGTGTCTCTGTAGATCTTAGAAAACTATTTCTAGATTTCAGTTGTTGACGTGCTGGCTGATACCCAAACAGGGGATGAGCTGGAGATGTCTCTGCCTTGGTCCTTTCACTATTGGCTGCTACTTCCCGGTGGATGTCAGGTGGTGCAATACCGGCTAAGCAGTGTAATTTCTCCAGTGGTGTAGGGCGCAGACTCCCCGTGATAATGCGGCATGTCTCATGAAGAGCCACATCCACTGTTTTAGCGTGGTGAGATGTGTTCCACACTGGGCATGCATACTCAGCAGCAGAGTAGCATAGCGCAAGGGCAGATGTCTTCACTGTGTCTGGTTGTGATCCCCAGGTTGTGCCAGTCAGCTTCCGGAGAGAGAGAGAGACCGACCCTGTGATAACTGGCAGGTGATCCTCAATGAAACCCCTGCAAATGGGCTCCGAGGGCCAAAGACAGGCCTGTAGTGGATGCGGTGAACGCGATGGCTTCCCTCCTACCCCTTGAGTCATCTTTAGCACTGGGGGTCCATCCTTCCGTCTCCTGTAGACCCCTTTTCTCGTGTCCTGCTGCTGGACTGAGTGCCTCCCACCCTGTGCTTCTGCGTCCCTATCTCCGTTTTTGTGGTCTTGGTGTAGGAGTTCGCTTTGTTTTTTTCTTTGCAGTTTTTCTACCTGAGGTCAGAGAAAAAATTGCTTCAGTTGGAAGAAATGAAGTATTTTTCTCCCAAGACTGACCACTTGGGATGGTCTGCCCGTACAGGTGGTCACTCAGGTTCTGAGTTGGGATGTGAGGAAGCGGGATCCAGGCAGGAAACGCTTTGCAACCTTAGACCTTTCTGCGCTGACCACATTGTTAGAAGTCTTCCTTTGCAAAGGTTGGATCTTTACAAAGTTCTGAACACACTGCAGTTCAAATAATCCCATACAGGGAATCATGGGCCACTCTCCCCTTTGCAGGGCTTGTTCTTTGTTGGGCAAGGGTTAAAGTACTTCTCAGCAGGCAGAGGCTCTTCTCTTTCTCCCTTCTTCTCCGGCATTGGCTACAGCACCAAGCTATTGTTCTTGTTGTTCAATGAGATATTTCTGTGCTCTGATCCTGATAAGATTTTCCTCTCGTTTCTCTGGCAGGTAACCTCTGAATGAACCTTCTGAAGAACACTTCCCTTTGTCTTAGGTCAGGAATGAAATTACACGGCACTCACAAGAAATAAGTTGGAGAAATTATATTTCAAGCTCCATAGCTGTGTATTCAAGGAGGAAAGGGAGGATCGTGGTGTGAAAAGTGGGGCTTGGTTCTTTATTTCTTCAAACGGACTAGAGCAATACAAGGAGTGAGAAGAGGAAATCAGGAGAACATATCTGTGACCTTTTGGCATATTATTAGAATCCTACATGTAAAAGAATGGAAAATCTCCATTCCTTGTCAAAATCACACACAGGGGAGAAGCGACATAACTGTATGGAATGTGGGAAATGTTTCACAGGGAGAAGTTCTCTTACTAAACATCAACGAACTCACACAGGAGAGAAGCCATATACATGCATGGAATGTGGAAAGAGCTTCAGTCAGAGTGGAGATCTGCGTATCCATCAAACGACCCACACAGGAGAGAAGCCGCACAAATGCGTGGAATGCGGAAAGAGCTTCAGTCGGAGTGCGACTCTGCATATCCATCAAAGAACCCACACAGGGGAGAAGCCACATAAATGCATGGAATGTGGAAAGAGCTTCAGTGAGAGTGGGAATCTGCGTAAGCATCAAAGAACCCACACAGGGGAGAAGCCACATAAATGCATGGAATGTGGAAAGATCTTCAGTCGGAGTGGAAATCTGCGTATCCATCAAAGAACCCACACAGGGGAGAAGCCACATACATGCATGGAATGTGGAAAGAGTTTCAGTCGGAGTGACAGTTTGGATATCCATCAGAGAACCCACACAGGGGAGAAGCGACATAAATGCATGGAATGTGGAAAGAGCTTCAGTCGGACTGGACATCTGCGTATCCATCAGAGAACCCACACAGGAGAGAAGCCACATAAATGCATGGAATGTGGAAAGAGCTTCAGTGAAAGTGGGACTCTGCGTATCCATCAAAGAACGCACACAGGGGAGAAGCCACATAAATGCATGGAATGTGGAAAGAGTTTCAGTCAGAGTAACAGTTTGGATATCCATCATAGAACCCACACAGGGGAGAAATCACATAAATGCATGGAATGTGGAAAGAGCTTCAGTCAGAGTTCACATCTGCGTATCCATCAAAGGACCCACACAGGGGAGAAGCCACATAGTGTATATACTTGAGTATAAGCCGACCAAATATAAGAGGGAAAAATTGGGAAAACTTATTGAGTTGAGTATAGGCCGAGGGTGGGGAATGCAGCAGCTATTGGTAAATTTCAAGAATAAAAATAAAAATAGATAGCAATAAAATTACGTTAATTGAGGCATCTGTAGGTTAAATGTTTCTGAATAATTGCATAAATCTGTAATTTAAGATAAGACTGTCCATCTCTGATTAAATCATTATTCTAACCTTCTTCATTGTAAATGGGCTTATGTATAAATAGGGTAAAATAATAAATGCAATGATAGCTTGAAATAATAAGTGTAATAATAACAATGATAGCATAAAATAATGTAATAATAATAAATAGAAACAATAATATTAACAGTATAAAATAATAAATGTAGTAATAGTGATAGAGTAAAATAATAAATGTAATAATAATAGAATAGAATTATAAACAACAACAAATTTATTAATTATTTATTTTATTGCAGTTACTTTTACCCCGCCCTTCTCAACCCCCTAGTGGGGACTCAGGGCGGCTTACAAAAAAGGCACAATTTGATGCCTGCAAAGGTACAAATATATAAAAACAACAATCAACATTTATCACAAATTAATATTAACAAACCATAATCAATTAAAAACTAATCATACAACTCCGCGCACATTATCCAGCGTTCCTTAATTCCATTCCGTATATCAGTTCCATTCCATTGCCACGTCCTTTTTCATCTGCCTGGTGGTCCGAAAGCCTGATCCCAAATCCACGTCTTCAACTTTTTCCTAAATGAAAGGAGGGATGACGCTGCTTCCCCCGGGAGTGAGTTCCGTAAGTTGGGGGCCACCACCGAGAAGGCCCTGCTCCTTGTCCCTGCCAATCTCACTTGTGATAGAGGCAGGGTCATGAGCAGGGCCTCCCCAGAAGATTTCAGATTCTGAGGTGGGACGTAGCGGGAGATCCGTTCGGACAGATACACTGGGCCGGAACTGTATAGGGTTTTGTAGGTTAAGACCAGCACTTTGAATTGTGCTCGGAATTGAATCGGCAGCCAGTGGAGCTGACATAACAGGGGGGTTGGTGTGCTCCCTGTATGACACTCCTGTTAGTACTCTGGCTGCCTCCCGCTGGACTAGTTGGAGTTTCCGAACAGTCTTCAAAGGCAACCCCACGTAGAGTGTGTTGCAGTAATCCAGTCGGGATGTAACAAGAGCGTGGACCACCGTGGCCAAATCTGACCTCCCAAGGTACGGGCGCAGCTGGCGCACAAGTTTTAATTGTGCGAAAGCTCTCCCGGCCACCGCCGAGACCTGGGGTTCAGGCTCAGCAATGAGTCCAGGATCACTCCCAAGTTGCGAACCTGCGTCTTCAGGGGGAGTGTAACCCCGTCTAACTCAGGCTGTAACCCTATGCCCTGTTTGGCCTTACGACTGACCAGTAGGACCGCTATCTTGTCTGGATTCAGTTTCAATTTGTTAGCTCTCATCCAGTCCGACACAGCCGCCAAGCACCGGTTCAAGGTCTGGACAGCCTCCTTGGGGCAATGATAATCAAATTATTGCCATAGTTTATTTTAACTACAGTATAGATTTTGGGGAAACGGCTGTGTGTATATGAATAATAAAAAGTGGGAAAGACTGACTTGGGTGAGAAAGAAGGACTGGAATCGTGGAAAAGTTGGAATGGGAAGGAGTGTTTGACAAAGTGGGAAAGTGAGGTGGAAAGGGGGTCTCTGGAAAAGTGAGAAGCCATACAAATGTGTGGAATGTGGAAAGAGCTTCAGTCAAGAGTGGAAAACTGTGTTCCCATCAATGGACCCACACAGGGGAGAAGCCATATAAATGCATGGAATGTGGAAAGAGCTTCAGTCAGAGTGGACATCTGCGTACCCATCAAAGGACCCACACAGGGGAGAAGCCATATAAATGTGTGGAATGTGGAAAGAGCTTCAGTCAGAGTGGAAAACTGTGTTCCCATCAATGGACCCACACAGGGGAGAAGCCATATAAATGTGTGGAATGTGGAAAGAGCTTCAGTCACAGTGTGATTCTGGGTAGCCATCAAAGGAGCCACACAAGGGAAAATGCATTAGACAGCAAAGAGCTCACACACACCTAGAGGAGACCTGCCTGTATGTTTCGAAGGGTCCCAGGTAGACAAAACATTGGGGCGATGGGCAGAAAAAGAAGGCTGCCAACTTGCTCTCTATCTGTCATGTGCAGCAGTTTGTGTGGTCTGGTTTGGTTCCTAGCTATATTTTTGGATTACATGAAACTCAAGATTTTACCTGTATGATCACCTTCATACATGATTTGTGAGTAAACTGTTTTATTGTATTATTCTGGTGTTCTCGAGTTGTTATCTGCTTGCATGTGTTTGGATTTGGTGAGGTTGTATTGTTTTCAATCATCATACTGGCCTAAAAAGGTTTAGCGACCTTTGCCTGCGTTATTCTCCTGTCTCACTGTTTCTCTTGTGCTCTCAGAGAACCCATTAACTTTTCGCAGCACTCTCTTTGATGCTGTGTCTTTGCATATTCAGGCATTAGCATTATAAAAAAACAACAGAATAGATTTCATAAAGTGCTCATCCTCCTCCTCTTCCCCATAAACTAGAGCTCATAAACAAGTTTTTAAAAGATTCCTGAAGGAGAGGGGGGGGAAGGGGCCATGTTTACTTCTTTCAGGAGGGAGATCCAGAGGTGGGGAGCGGCCACGGAAAAGACCCCTTCTGTCTTCCCCACCAGCCGCACTTGAGACGAGGGTGGGACTGAGAGAAGGGCCTCCTCTGCGAACCACAGCGCCCAGGGTGGTTTGTATGCGGAGATGCGGCTTTGTAGATTGTCTGGTCCTGAACCGTTTAGGGCTTTCTGGGTAATGACCAGCACTTGTATTTAGTCCAGAAGGAGATAGTGGAGCTGCCGTAAGGTGGGAGTTGTCCGTTCCCTGTACGGTGCTCCAGTTCCTGGCTGCAGCTTCTGTACTACCTTCAAAGGCAGCCCCACGTAGAGAGCGTTGCAGTAATCCAGACGGGATGTGACTAAGATGTGTACTACCATGGCCAAATCTGGCGTCTCAAGGTATGGGAGCATCGGCACACAAGTTTTAATTGTGCAAAAGCCTTCCTGGCCACCCCCAATACCTGGGGTTCCAGGGTCAGTGATGAGTCCAGGATCACCCCCAGACTGCGAACCGTGTCTTCAGGGGAGTGTGACTCCATCCAACACAGGCCGTCATCCCACACCCTGATCCGCCTCCCAACTGACCAGGAGTACCTCTGTTTTGTCTGGACTTACTCTCAACTTGTGAGCTCTCACCCAGTCCATCACTGATGACAGGCACTGGTTCAGGAGCAGGGTGGCATCCTTGGCTTTGGGTGGAAAGGAGTGATAGAGTTGGGTGTCGTCGGCATACATTTGACACCAAACTCCAAAACTCTGGATGATCTCTCCCGGCGGTTTCATGTAAATGTTAGATAGCCTGAGGGAGAACCTTCAACCCTGAGGGACACCCCCGGCCAGGGAGTCGAACAGGAGTCCCCCCCCCCCAGCACCACCACCTGGGTCTGACCTTCCAGGAAAGACGGCTTGCTATCTGCCATTGGTCAGAGGCCTTGCCATAATTGTCTGTGTATGTAATCCACCACCATCCCTGTTGTGTGAAGTTCTCATTGTGTTTGTGAGTATATGAAGAGAAGACCTGTAAATAGTTATAAGTAGCAGATAAATCAAGCATAATACCTCCATGGACTTTGGATGAAAGTAAATATGACTGTATAATTAATGTTATTGTTTATGGTTTTATATTGTTGTTATTGTGATATTGCGGCATCGTGTTAGCCGCTCTTTGTCCCCCCTCGGGGGTTGAGAAGAGTGGGGCAGAAATGTTGTCAATAAATAAATAAAAGTCAGAACACAAGAGTGTTGATTCCAAGAGATGAGCTACTTTACAAGGCCAGAGGCTGTGACACTGTGACCAGGACTCTGTGGTGTTTTGGGGGTTGGAAAGAACTACTTGCCTATGAGACAGTCTGTCCTATTGCAAAGCTGGAGGAGGCCACGAGAGGATTGCATTCACGTGCCTGCCTAGCAGTGGAGTTGTGGGTATTTGGACTCTGCTTCTCCTTGTCTTCCATCCCTCGCTAACATTGACAAAGTGTGCAGGCCTCATCTAAACAACAGAAGGAACGTCCTGATGGGAAGAGCTGTCCAGTAGTGGAGTCTTCTCCCACCGGGAGTCCATAAGAATCTCCTTTGGAGGTTTCTAAGCAGAGACGGCATGACCATCTGTTGGGGTTCTTTGGTTGGTTGATCCTGCGTGGTCTGATGAGGATTGGCCCATCCGCACACAAACAGACCTGACTGGGAAGAGGAGGAGGAAGAGGAGATGTGTGTCCTTCAGCCACAACACCCTTGACCCAGTGGGTCGTGGAGTCCATCCCCATTCTGCTCCACGCATCATCTCCAGCGAGAGCATCCTCCGCAGGTCGCTCTCCGGCCTCTTTTTGGGGTCATCCGGGGAGAGGAACCCCCTCCTCTCTCGGCCCTTGCCTTCTCACCCAAATATAAGAATCACAGAATAGTAGAGTTGGGTGAGACCACGTGGGCCACCTAGTCCACCCTCTTCTTCCATGCTGGAAAAGCAGAATCCCTTGGCAGAACTCCAGCCGCCAGGTGAGCAAAGGCGCGCTCAAAGTCCCATTGGCTATTTCTGCTGTTGGCGCATCACACGGTTGGCTCATGTTCCACTTGCTGTCCACTCATTTATTTTATTTATTATTTATTTATTTGCTTCATTTTTATACCGCATTTTCAGCCCTTGACAGGCGACTCAATGCGGTTTACAGTGCAATTAAAACACAACAATACAACAACAGGGTCGACGACGTCGCTCCACAACAATTAACAATCAGACAGGACAAATCAACAAACAACATATATAACGCCTCAGTTGAAGTCAGATCCATTCTCATAGTCATTGTGCCGTTCCTATGTTTCAATTACCGTCTTCCTTAATTAGTTGCATTGCCTAGCCAAACGCTTGTTCGTAAAGCCAGGTCTTGACCATTCTCCGAAACGTCAGCAACGAAGGTGCCTGTCTGATGTCTGCTGGCAAGGCATTCCATAGCCGAGGGGCCACCACTGAGAAGGCCCTGTCTCTCGTCCCCGCCAAGCGCACCTGTGACGCAGGCGGGATCGAGAGCAGGGCCTCCCCAGACGATCTTAATGTTCTAGTCGGTTCATAGGTGG